TTAATTCATTCCTTGGCCTTAAAAAAACTTTCTCCTGCCTTCAATACTTAGAAACTGATCTGCTGCATATAGACCTTAAGAGATTTTATACCTTCATATGCCTCCTTTCTCAGTAATTGGATTAGTGGCGTACAAAATTTGCGTTTTGTATCTACTGAAACAGAAGTCACAGTAGAAGTTGTCATCAGGAATGTCATGTATCAAAAAGTGGTATTCATGGTGCCCAAATTGGATAGCAAGCAAAAGCCATTATAATTTCCCATATTATGAATTGTGGTGCAAACCCATTCTTCCTTCTGTTTTCATGTATGGGATTCTTTTAGTTTTATTAGTGAACTGCTCCATTTTAATGTAACCTGTTTATCAATTTCTGTCTGTTAAAGTCTGTATATTCTTGCATTTGCTTGTACCTCTGCCTATCAGTGACACCTCTTCATCTATCTCTGACTCTCAAACCTGTGTTTTTTTACTATCGCTCCTGTCCTTGCTATGTGTAGAATTCTCTTCATGTATTCCTGACTGTCTTTCCTTTTTCTGGTCGTCTTAGAACAGGTTTTAGACATGACCTTACATATTCGAAGCATGATTATTTGCTACCCTCTTGTTAGCTGATCATTCTAGTTAATAACTGTGTATTTGTGCTGCTTGATCCTACTGATTTTGTAAAATGGAATGTAGTTTTTTCATCGCTGATGGTATCTGGTGGTTTTGTTTAGTCATATATGTTCATTTGAGCAGTTTGTAGCCTCTCGATAATAGAATATGAACACTGCTTTAGCTGGCTGCCCAGGTGAAATGCTCAGCATTAGGTTGATGCAGTTTTTTTAGTACACTCAGCATTTATAACTTATGTTTTTCTCCTTTTCTGTTCATAGGTAGCAGAGCGGGCTCTGTTTCTCTGGAACAACGACCATATTGAAAACCTAATTAAGCAAAACTACAAGGTGCTATTACCTATCATTTATCCAGCACTCGAGAGAAACTCCAGAGATCACTGGAACCAAGCTGTCCGTAGCCTGACATTGAACGTACGCAAGATCTTCTCTGATCATGATTCTGCATTTTTCGGGGAGTGCGTTCAGAGGTTCAATGATGAGGAGCTCAAGCAGGAGGAATCTGATTCGAAGCGAGAAGCCCTATGGAAGCGCTTGGAGGAAATGGCCACCTCAAAACCTGACGAAAACAATCCCTTAGGTGCACCCAATGGCAAACCCAGTCAAGCTGCTTGCTAGAATGGCCCACCATATCAGCCGCAGCTGTGTAACTCTTTGACTCTTGTGCGAGATCTCCTGGAACCTGGGTTGTGATTTTAGCTTTGGGATTTTTTTTTGCGTTGGTTTGCCCCTGTTGTAGGTGGGTAGGATGTGTTTGGTTTTGTCAGAACTGTATGTTCAAAATGTACACATACAGAAGAATTTGAGAGATTTGGCATGTGTAGTAACATTAATCAGAATTACCATATAGTCCAATAAACAACGTCGATTTTGATTGCAGATACGCAGTTTGGGTGGTTTATATACCGAAATGACAGTGGGCGTTGTGTTCTTGTTTGTGGTGTTATACAATGATGCTGGGAATTGGGAGTTTGGGACATGGCTTTCCGTCCACTTTTGATTCCTTTGTACTATTCGTCTATTCCGGAGTCCGGAGCACTGCACTGTTTTCTCGCGGTCTGCTTTTCTGTTCCTTCGGCTGAAACAGAACAGCGATCTGCTTTTCTATTCCTTCGGCTGAAACAGAACAGCGTCGCTCTAGACGATCGTTGCTTGATGTAACAGAACACAAGTGATTCTGATTGTCTACCAACTGATGCTTACGGAATAATGGTTTGTTGTGAAAATCGTCTGATAGATCCAGTCACTTCTTCTGCCAGCAAAGGCTTAGTATCAAAACAATAAGTTAGCGAGACAAAACAAGGGATGAATTCATCAATGAAGAAACGTCTACAAGCAATGCCCGTGATTTTTTTGTAGGGGCCCATGTAGTTAGGGTAGTTAAAAAACACAATTTCTCAGAACACAAATACCCCTAGCTTCTTCAATTGACACCGGTTGAAAGTCAAGCACTGCTCGTACACTCCAGGAGGCAAGGCAAATAATACATTCCAGTCATGCACTGCACCGGGAGCTCTTGCATGAAGGGCTCTCGCCTACAGGTCAATAACTCGTGATAGCTTCTGGATGCGGTTCAGCAGGAAGTCTCCTTGCTTGATGGTTGCCTGGTAGAAAGCATTCCTGGCATCAGGTCGGTTCGTTTCCAAGACGCCAGCAACTTTGTCTATCTTGCAGTGGAGCTTCCCAGCAGCAATGAAGCGTGACAATTCCCTGTATTGGAGTGACAGAAATAGGTAATAAAAGTTAAGCTTGTGAGTAACATTTAAAACTTGGATATGAGCATGGCTGACACTGCACTTACTGGTCTATAAAGTCAACTGTGACACCAAATGCAGCAGCCATGGCTTCCATTGTCACACTCTTGTACGATTCCAGAAATTGTGAGTAGACAACAATGCGCACTTCACGCATGTAGTAGCGAAAATGAGGCTGCAAGTAACGGTCTAATTTGATCGGTTCAGTCAAGCCAGCTGAAAAAAAAAAATGACCCAGTGATGAGAAACCCAAAGATTAGACCCGCCATAATAATCCATGAGCATTTTTTTTATCATAAGTAAATGAAAGATGGAAAATTTAATGATTCTGTGACTTACAGAATGCAATAAAAAATGACTTGTACTGGCAATTGTAGAGGGAATTGAGAAACTCCGAGAGGTGAGGTACTTTGCCAATTACAGCTAAGATCTCAGGTGCATCTACAACCTGCCAAGATCCTAGTTGTTTATACATCCAATCCAAGGCAATGGGCAATGAAGAGAACTTGAAGAAGACAAGCTGAGTACCTTTTGTTTTAGAGAGACCCGATCCAGAGAGATAACACTCGTGAGGACTGTGTAGAAGATGAATGTATCATATGTGAACAGCTCATACGTTGTGAAAGTTGAAATTGAATCCAAGAATAAACTAGCAGCTTTCTTGAAGTTTCTAGTTGCCATGCAGTACAATCCTTCGTATACTTTCAATCTGTTCTTCCTCTCCCAGTCACCACCTTCCTCAAACAAGCTTCAACCAGGAGAAGTCTGTATCAGCTTCACAATGCAAATCCAATTTGAAAAAGAGATAAACCAAAAGAATTTGGATTTACTTTTTTGCTTTGTCAATGGACTTTGAGATGAGATCAAAGTCCATATAGAAAAGTCCAATTTGTAGTGTGTAGAAAACAAGGTCCATCTTTTGCCCAACAGCTACAGTTTTTCCTTCAGTAACTTTAAGCTGCTCCAGTGCTTTCTCCTGAAATTTTTATATTATTTGGGCAAGGTAAGCATGTCTGGAGCACACATTAACAATCTTAAGAAATGTAGAACACATAAGATATATACCTTCTCCCCAACCCTTATGAAATATAAGGATCTGGCGAGATGGGCCTCACGCACTTCACTCTCACCCAAATTCTCCTCAGCATCGGCAATCCTTGATAAATAAGAAAAATCAACCAAGAGAAGTTACTGACTAAATACTGAAACTCAAGCATAATGGTTACATAGAATTTCAGATGCACCAAAAGAGAGGATATGAACTTTAGTAGGTACCCTGATTACAATTTTCGTTTTACTTGAACAAAATGTCAGCCTTCCTTGAGAGTATATCATTGTGTTTTTGTTTGTGAACAAAAGAATCTCTATTTATTTACAATCATCCACCATTCCTCATGACATAGATGGTTGCATGTGCAAAGTGCAAACATGAGTTCTCTATCTACAATCATTGATCACCCCCTTCCATCTAGATGGATGGATGAAACTACCAATCAAGCACAAAAATTAATCATCCCCCTTCCATCTAGATGGATGAACCCTAACCTACCAAGCACAAAATGACATGTTCTTGATGCTGAAACACAAGCCATTGGTAAAGTTCTGACAAGAACAACTGCTATGGCTAAACTAAACAAACTCAATTCAGTTAGATCATAAGGTCCAAAACACAAATTTTTAGAAAAAAAGGAATAAATTATATTTTAGCCTGTGCAAGAGTTACTAAGTACAACGTTCAGAGACAACTGGAACAGCTACTCAGCTAGAGCAAATCAAATCCAACCCAAAGACAGTAATAGCGCCTAGCAGTGCATAACTGACAAACCCAGTGATTTTCAAGGCTAAATTATCACTGAACCGAGCAAATTATGAACAGTGCGGTCACAGAGCTAAATGCATCAACACTCGCAGCATACGACACAGGAGCCAGCCTATTGATCGAGCAGGAAAAGGTCACAAGCGGCGAGATCTACTCACTTCTCGTCGAGCTTCCGGATCTCCTCGTCTATCCTGGCGCGCATCTCGGCCAGCAGTGCCGCATCCATCTCCAGTACGCCGTCCGCCGCCAACGACTCGTAAAGAGCCGCCATGTCTGCACCAACCGCAAGCCAGTACAGATCAAATCCAAACCCCTCCCGCAATTAGAAGCAGACTCGACGAAAGGATGGGGCGCTGGTATACCATCGGATTTGACTGCCGCGAGCACGTCAGCGCGTAGGTCGACCTTGGCGAGGTCGTCGACGTCGGAGCGCGACAGAAGGAACAGCTTGTGCGCCAGTACCAGGTGCGGCTGCTGCTTCCCGTCCTCTCCGCCGCCGTCCATCTCGCCGCCCTCGCTTTGCTTCCGCCGCAAGCAGACTGGAGATAGAAGAAGAGGAGGCTGTTTTTTTCCCCCAGAGAGAGGAAGAGAGAAACTCATATATTTTCAGATTCGAGCTAGTACAACTATGCAACGTTTTAATCGTTACCGTTCATTCTATAATCTGACGGCTGTACAGAGCCGAGAGCTTTTGAACCTATCCAAGGGCCGAGAGGAACACCGACCCGACCGAGCCCAACACGAACCCGACCGAGCAACCCAACTCGTTCCCGACCCGAGCCCCAGACCCCTCGCGGAAACCCTTCTCTCCCGATGGCAACCGCCCCCGCCGCCGCCGCCGTGGCGGCACCAGAGCAGCCGCGCCGCCGGAAGCTGGCCCCGGGGCGCGGGGGCGTGGTCCTCCCTGCGGGGCTCTCGGAGGAGGAGGCCAGGGTGCGGGCCATCGCCGAGATCGTCTCGGCGATGGGGGAGCTCTCGCGGCGCGGGGAGGATGTGGACCTCAACGCGCTCAAGTCCGCCGCGTGCCGGAGATACGGTCTGGCGCGGGCGCCCAAGCTGGTGGAGATGATCGCCGCCGTGCCCGAGGCCGACCGCGCCGCGCTGCTGCCGCGGTTGCGCGCCAAGCCCGTGCGCACGGCGTCGGGTATCGCCGTCGTCGCCGTCATGTCGAAGCCGCACCGTTGCCCCCACATCGCCACCACCGGGAACATCTGTGTCTACTGCCCCGGCGGTCCCGACTCCGACTTCGAGTACAGCACGCAATCCTACACTGGATACGAGCCCACCAGCATGCGTGCCATTCGGGCAAGGTGATTTAGCTCACTGGCTGCTGATGCCACTGATAAGTACTACATCTGTACCTTCTTGTATTGCTTGAGTGAGTGAGGGTAGTATCCTCGTTTAGGTTAGTCTGAACTTCAATTCTGTTAGGTTAGTCTGAACTTCAATTCTGAATGGACTGTAATGTTGTTCATTGAAATGGACCTGCTTTTGTTACAATTTTACATTGCAATAGAAATTTACTAGCTGATATTTGAGAGATACGATGAAAGGGAAAGGTTACATCGGTGTCCATGCTCCCTTTAACTGCTTAAAGCCTTTCTGTACCTAGGAGTGCAGTGACTTTCTGTTTGTGTTACAGACTTACAGTGTAGCATCGTAGAAGAATTCGTAGTTATACATGCTATTGCTAGACAGCCGGATCATGCTTCAAATCATGTCTTAGGAGTTCATACAACCCATTATAGACTGGCTAAATTAGATACCGGAAATTTACTGAAAATACTGTAATAGAAGAGTACAAATGGTGATCCTTAAACCCATATGTAACTAGCTTCTGTGGTCTTTATCTCTCTCTCTTGGCTGCCTGTTGCATGCTTTTTTTTTTCTATCTTCACCTATACAGGTTTTGTCTCCCTTTTCTGTAACTCCTTTTCGCTCCATTTGTTTTTAGTGAAATGCACAGTAGGAGTCTCCCCTACTGTATTTCCCCTAAAAAAATAAAGTTCTCTATTTGTTGCTTGTTAAATATGAAGGTACACCAATGCCAACTAGAGATCTTTGGATATTCTTGTAGCCATAGATTATGTTTAGCAATACAGATGTTCATACACTTTGATTATTTAAACTGATTTATTGATACATTTTTGGTAGATAATTATGCTGATCTACCTTTATATTTTAGGTATAATCCATATGTGCAAGCCAGGAGCAGGATAGATCAGCTCAAGAGGCTAGGGCATAGTGTGGATAAGGTTTGTCTGTAGTCCAAGACTGTTGGCTCAATTTTATTGAGACTTGCGTTCACGACATGCTGTATTAAATTTTGACCAGAAGTTGAAGATGATTTTAATATACTTTGCAGGTCGAATTCATCTTGATGGGTGGGACTTTCATGTCCTTACCAGCTGATTATCGTGATTATTTCATCAGAAATCTTCATGATGCTTTATCAGGTCACACTTCTGCAAATGTTGAGGAGGCTATTTGTTATTCGGAACATAGTGCTGTCAAGTGTATTGGTATGACGATTGAGACGTAAGTATCATTGCAGAATAGGATGGTGCTTCTTATTACTTTCATTCGGAAGGAATCTGTTGTCTTTCCCACTTCCTAGGAACTTGAATACCAATGAAATGTTTTTTCTCTCTTGGAATTCTAGGAGACCTGATTATTGCTTGGGGCCTCATCTGCGCCAGATGCTATCTTATGGTTGTACCCGCTTGGAAATTGGTGTTCAGAGTACATATGAGGATGTTGCTCGTGACACAAACAGAGGACACACGGTGGCTGCTGTCGCTGATTGCTTCTGTTTGGCAAAAGATGCTGGGTTTAAGGTTATTATTTTTTAGTCACATATCTTTGCTTGATTGACTTCATTTTGTGTATGATTTTTCTAATTGGCTTGATTCACCCTGTTGACAGGTGGTTGCCCACATGATGCCAGATTTACCTAATGTTGGAGTTGAAAGAGACTTGGAAAGTTTCAGAGAATTTTTTGAAAGTCCAGCATTCCGGGCTGATGGTCTGAAGATTTATCCAACACTTGTGATTCGTGGAACTGGTCTTTATGAGCTCTGGAAAACTGGCAGGTACTTCTCTAATCTAGTGTCTTGCTAAATCTTATCAACGTTCTTGTGGTTATTTTTAAATCTTGGGGTAAGAACTTCTGTACTTATGACAAGGGCTCATAAATCTAGGGTTAACCCGGTAACTTTTACTGTGCTGCAGATATAGAAATTATCCACCTGAGCTGTTGGTGGATATTGTGGCAAGAATTCTGTCTATGGTACCACCATGGACACGAGTGTATCGGGTCCAAAGAGATATTCCTATGCCTCTTGTCACTTCTGGTGTTGAGAAAGGTAACCTTCGTGAGCTTGCTTTGGCTCGAATGGAAGATCTGGGTTTAAAATGCCGAGATGTCAGAACCCGTGAGGCAGGGATTCAGGTAAATATGAAATACAGTAAAACCACTTCCACTGGCCTGTAATGAATGTCCTTTTATTATTCTAGCTGTGCATCTGTATGTAGGATATCCACCACAAGATCAGGCCAGATGAAGTAGAGCTTGTCAGACGTGACTATGCTGCAAATGAGGGTTGGGAGACATTCCTCTCTTATGAGGATACACGACAGGTACTTATAGCTGGCCAGCCAATTTGATCATAGGGAAATGAATTCTGGAATATGATGCCTGCCTGTATTTCTAATGTGATTATATTCTACTCTCATTCTCTGTAGTTTAAGATCTTTTTTTCTGTCTTTAATTGTTTTTCTTGATATTCCTTTTGTTCGATGAAGATTAGCCATGGGTCTAGCTAAGGATTTTTTTTTTTTTTGCTTCTGGAGCTTAGCAATATACTCACATTTTACTTTTCATGAATTTTACAGGATATCCTGATCGGTCTGTTGCGCTTGCGTAAATGTGGCCGTAATGTTACATGCCCTGAACTTGTAGGGAGGTGTTCAATTGTTCGTGAGCTTCATGTCTATGGAACTGCAGTCCCTGTGCATGGCCGCGATGTAGACAAACTACAGCACCAGGTGATTCACTTATTTACATGTAGACAGTGTATGAATGTATCATGTGTTCAATCTAGTGAAAAATTGAAGAGGCAAATTAGTGCTAGTGACGGGCAGGCATCACTAGTTAACATGACTGTATTTAGTCATTGTTATACAATATTGTTTTTCTCCTTGTTCATTCTTTGTATTGTCATCAGGAAGGTTCTTTTACAGCTTTTAACGTTGTTTTGTGTCTGTGTGTATTCGCAGGGATACGGAACTCTATTAATGGAAGAAGCAGAAAGGATTGCTCGGAAGGAGCACCGATCGAAGAAATTAGCTGTCATTTCAGGGGTTGGTACTCGCCACTACTACCGCAAGTTGGGTTATGAGCTAGAAGGGCCTTACGTGGTTAAGTGTTTGGCATAATGCCATTTCATTTTTCATGCGATCATATAGACCAGACTAGTGTTTGTAATGTAATATGAGTAGTTTATTTTTTCCAAAAAAAGTTCGTTATACCCTTCTCTTTTAATATTGAGTTAGTCCAGATGAAAATGGAGACAACTCTGTATACTGAATGATAGTCAAATTGTCGCCTAGCCCTGAAAACTTCATGTGCCGTGCAGCAAGTGTGGTAGTGGAGTCAGGATTACTCTTTGGTGATCAAAAGGGATCCATGAATGAAGAAAAGAATCAATCACCGTTTGTATTTCTTGATCATCTGTGAGATTAGTTTGTAAGTATTCCTTTCATTCCAAATTATAGTTTACTTTAGGTTTGTTATTAAGTCAAACTTCTTTGAACTTTATCAAATTTATTTATAGAAAAATAAATCAACATCTGGAACATCAAGTTCGGCCCCTTTGGTATGGATTCCGCTGGCTCCGGCTCCTACTGACACAAGCACTATAGCGTCATTGTTGAGCACTGTTCATAGAATCTCTTCTCCTCTCTCCCAAGAGAAGGAGAAACTTCGGTTCCCTGATCAGTTTCAGTTTCAGGAACCGAAATTTGCAAGGTTAATTCGGTTCTTGGGCTTGGTTAACCAAAATAACTGAATAAACTGAATAATATGCAAAGGCCTAGTAGAAACATTGTAGCCCAGCCCACTAGTTGTTGGTATAGGTATATATTTGTTCCTTCCACTCCTCAAACCCTAATGTGGCGTTTGGATACAGGGATATAGGGAGTGGGATAGGGAAAGAGAAATTGATGAACGGTTAGGATTAAATGAGGCGTAAAGAATTGATGGCTAGAATACATTATTACCCTTTGGAGGGTGAGATATCCCTCTCCCCATCCCTATCCCAATCTTCATCCAAACGCCACCTAAGACTCAATCGCCCCCATCCTTCTCCTTGCCCTAGCCGCCAGGTGCCCAGAAGCTGCCGCCCCAGACCCATCTGCTGATTGCTCTAGTGTGCGTTTCCGCGCGGAGCATTCCTCATTCCCTCTCCCTTCCTCTTCGACTTGTGGGCCCAAGCAGGGTGTAGGAGCCCGCGGTAGCGGCCCATCAGCAGAGCACGGTGGCGGCGGCGGCCGCCCCTAACGCGCTCAGCCGTGGCGCTTCCCTTCGGGGTCGGATCGAAGCAGGAGAGCGACGGTGGAGGGGCTTGCCCCACCAGCGCGCGAGCAGCCACGACACCTCCTGTTGGCCGGCAGATCCAAGCATGAGAGCGGCGGCAGTGGTGGTCTGCCCCTAGCTTGTGCGAGTCGGCGCCGACTGTTCTCTGACCTCCACCTCCCTCTCCATCCACCCGACGCAGGGATGAGCACGAGCCGGAGCAGCGCGCGTGGCGAGGCGCACATCGACGACTTGTTTTCCCCCTTTTTTCCTATTTGTTTCTTGGCTTGGTGAACATGTAAACGGTTACTTCGGTTATAACTAAAACCGAACCGAAGTAATCGGTTCCTAGTTTTGCAAAGAACCGATCGGTCCCTAGTTCTGATGGAACCGAATTTCTTAGAAAACCGAAGAACCTAACCGATCAGTTTCGGTTAACCGAATGCCCATGCTTGCTCAACGGTACTTATGGTGGTAGGAGTTGGAGCTGGCCGAATCCATATAAAAGGGACCCTTATTATAATTATAGATTCTCTATGAGAGATGTTTTGATAGGCATTTATTTGATCTTCTATTTTTTTAAAATCTTGATCAAAGAAAATTTTGATAACTGTAGTTTGGAATGAATGGAATAGAATTTATCCGTAAGTGCAATAAAGAGAGATCAGATTAGAATTGCCCATTAATTAACTTTGTATAACTGACGATAGAAGACTATACGGTAGTTTGACATATGCAGCTTCTCTTTGTATTTGTGTATATATAAGTGAGTGGTTAACCAAGAAAGTACGTCTCCGAGTAATCAACAAAGGTTCCTCTTTCTCATCAATGGAAAAAAATAGGAACAGGGTAACCGTCAATCCGATTATTAGTTTGTGTCGTGGTTTAATATTTGTGGTGCAACGTGTCATGGACTCGTAGTTTAATTGGAGAGGATCCAATCCAGACTGGAAGTGATCGCACAAACAAACCAATCCGACACAAACACCGCAAGAGAAAAAAAAATATAGCTGCATTCTATCTTTAGTAGTGTACGATAGCATAGCGTGAGAGTTACAGAGAGTAGTGAGTTGCTCGATTTCCAGATCTGGTCTTCTAGTATATTTCTTGTATCTTTTTTTTAAGTAAGACTTTTACTTTATTTAATATACTATTCTTTCTCTATTTTACTTAGTCTTTACTTTGTGTAACATTATACTTATTATATCGTTGTTGTGGTATATCTTAGCATATATTTGTTGCATAATAGATTGATGATCATGTGATCCACACTTGTATACACATCACTTTTCATTAGGTGCTCTAATTAATCTGTGTGCTCATAATTAGAGTAGTGAGAGCAGGTATAAGCGTGGTGCTTATATTGCATTCTTGTCGCACGGATTGTTTGTGGTACCTAGCAGATGGTGATAGCCATGTCTAGTCTTTGTATCCCGCCACATGTTATAGGCAAGTTCTTAAGAGGTAAGACCCCATAAAAAGATAGTTGCTTCAGGTAGGAGTTTTCTCCTATTGTCTCGTCTATTGCCTAGTGTACCCGTTACGTGGACTCAATCTATTTGCAATAGTTGTGTGATTAAGATAGAATCATAGAACCAGAATTAGAATTATAGGAATCCTATACTCTCTCGTTGTCCTCCCACCTAGCTAGACCTTACTAGCTATCTTGAGCTATCTTTATGTTGCCTTTTTTTTAATCAATCCTCCCTATCATATTTCGATTACCCCTCTACACTATTGATACTAAGTTGTGGTAAACATAAAGATCTCTCACTTATTATCATTCCTAGCTACCACTTTCATTTAGGATAAAATAAATAATTGTCTCTTAGAATACTCATTAGTGAAGTGCTACAATGGTATATTCTGTGTGCTTGCGGAATACTCTACTTGAGCATAAGAAACACGAACAGAGTTGCAGTTTTGGTGTGCTTGATGTGTGCATGTATCAACAAGGGGGAGATTTATTCCACACAAAGAACAAAGGGGAGAATGAGTTGAGAGTGCATACATTTGAGAAAGTGTATCAGTTCAGGGGGAGTTTGCATTTGAGACTACTTTTGCTAGTTGTGTTGAGCCTTTGCCTCTTCTGGAGGGACAAGCTGCTTTTTGAGTTGTTTTGATTCTTGTTGTGTTGCTCTAATACTTGGTTTTTGCTCTAAAGCTTTGCTAGTGGTGTTGAGCCCTTTATGCCTCTTCTTGAGGACTAACTTTTTTTTGCTTGGTTGCATCAAGTCATTTCCCATGTCTTTGGGAACCAAACTTTCACTCATTTTAAATGATCCTGTTTTGGCTTTTCATTGTTTTTTGGTCATTTGGATGAGTTCTATCTTTTTCTTTTGCTTTTGATCGATCACTTTGTGTTGGTGTTGACACTGCACTCATTAAGGGGAGATTGTGAACCCATGGTTGTTATGTGCCCATGTGTGTCTATTAATGATGAGTGGTTGTCAAGAAATGATCAAGCTTTGGTTGAGTTTGGAGACTAACCTTAGTATGAGTGTGGTGTTTATGCAACATGTCTTTTGGCTTGTGGTGCGCAGGTGTGGAGCATAAAAATGGTCGACGACTATGGAGCACAGAGATGGATACATGCTAAGACCTTAGAGCAACCTATCTACCAACTGGTTTTGGCAGATTCCTCGCGAGCACGAGTTTGGGCGATTTTTGAGCAAAGTTGAGAAAACCCCAATTCGGTCGGTGAGAATCAAGATCCCTAGAGTTTCTTTGATCTTATGGAGTTGATCCTCAAGGAACAACTTCTAATCCTTCCCTTCTACCTTTGTGCCAAGTTTGAAGTTGATTCAAATTCATTTGCTTTGAATTTGACTTTTGGAGAAAAAATTCGAGGAACTGCCAGGCAAACGCGGCCTCAGGCCGAGTTCACCTTAGCCAAGTTGACCATCCCGGCTAGGCCAGCCCTGAGACCCAGCTAGGCTGACCACAGCACTCGGCCACGGCTGACTTTGCTAGTGTCTTTTGCTTCTTCGATGTGTTTTTGAGTTTCGGTTCTCCATTTCGTGTTTTGTTTCTTCCGTGGTGACTCTTAGGTGTCCAGGAAGTTTTGCAAATCATCAAGTCACCAGTTGGCTTAGGTGATTTTGCTTTGAACTCTTGCTTATGTTTGGAGTTGAGAGCCTCACTTTTGAGTTTTTGTCAAGCTCTTGGTTTTTCACTGTGGTGAGTGTCCCGATGTATTCTCTGGTCATCCCGGAGGGCATCCAGTCACTATTGGCTCGAGGGCATCTTAGGGTGTGTTTGCTTGCTAGGACGAGGTGGGATGGAATGGGATGAACCCACTTTTGCACGTGTTTGGTTGGGAGTCAGACAGAGGTGGGATGATCCCACTAGAGAATAAGCTCTCTAGATCTGAGATGCCTCTAGCCCTAGAATTTTGGGTGGACAAAGTCACGTGAGGTAGGATGTTGCCTAGGCGAGTGCACGCTAGAGTGGTGACCTCGGAGATAGGGTAGGAGCATGAGGAAGAAGAAGTTTGGCAGCCGACATCAAGGAATAAGAGGACGTGGGGGACGGAGGATGGAGGCATAGGTCACTGGTGAGGCCTAGCCGTGACATTTGCGGGCATGGAGGCGGAACATGGAGGCCGCCGGTGAGGTCCAGCCACTCCATCTGGAGGCGTGGGGTGGAGGACGGAGGCCACCAGTGAGGCCCAACCGTGCCATCTATGGGCGTGGGAGTGGAGTACGGAGGCTGCCGGCAAGGTGTAGCCACGTCATCTGTGGGCGTGGGGGTGGAGGACGAAGGCGCATGGGGTAGAGGCACGGTGCGCAGGAGGTAGAGGCGCAAGGCGTCAGGCAGCCACACTTGGTTTTGCATGCGGTGGCACTTGGTCCGGAGTGCG